AACTCAAAAATTTCAAACAACTCCAATCAACAAACACGATTTTTTTAATGGATAATGGTACGAAACCCTTCTTATAATCAGATCATATAGTTTTATGTTGTTCTTATAAATAAACCTTCTCATTTTATAAACTATTTATGATTTTCTATCTCTATCATAAGGAATATACTACTTATACTGGAAGTTTATCGGTAAAGTTTAAAAGGAGACACGTGTAATCCGAACTTAATACATAGATTAAATAGCTTATGGGGTCAATTGCCCTCGGAAATTGATTACCGGTGTCGTATCGAGTTATAAACGGGAGTTGTGCCAACTTTTACGGGATCATTTAACTTTTGTAATCTTATAAGTCTTTTAGTTGAACAGTTTTAGTATCACACCTGAACACTTTCTCAATAAATACACCACAAACTTTTTATATTTATCATAATCATTTGTTTACCCTTGTCATTTTTATGTATTCTTGTTCTATATTTTCGATTAGCGGTACCTAAACATTCACTTGTTATCTTAACTATATCATCTTCGACACAATCTATATATATTTTCTTCGGACCTTCTTGTTTTGTATTAATTTAAAAATCTAAATACTTTGAACATCATTTATTTTTACTTCTTTAATATCTTGAAATTACATATTCCTATTGAACTTTTTCGATCATGACATTCTGAAAATATATTAGTGGCTGTTAATAAAACATTCCACCAATTATTTAACGTGCTAGTTACCCTTTGCAATATCATATTTCAAACAAAACTATCAAAAACTATAGGGCTTTTATAACCATGACTGTACATATTAAACATCAACACTGCTTAGTTGAGTACTATTTAACGAGCTGTATTTAATGATAGAACAGAACGGTCCTAATGGGGTTCTATGGTGGTTTTGGCACAGGAGTTTTTATACTCCTATGATTGCCTTGAAACAGTTTCACTTGTAACGACGTTCAATAACCGAGATGTAATCGGCATGTGGCAGATTGACTAAAACATAGATTATAATATAATTCGTTAATCACTCTTCCCTTTTCTTCTTTTTTGTACGAACGTCTTCAATCGAATGGACATGTAAATATTCTTTTTTTCCATGTGGTGCATGTATGGCAAGATTTGTACGAACGTCTTCGACGTGTAAATATCCTTTTTCCATATGGTGTATGTACGGCAAGAAATTAGCCAGCTCAACTCTATCAGGAAAGCTCCTACCACGTTCACGTCTGTGATGGCCTTCTGGGGTGCGATTGCCTAACTATCTAGTCATGACTCTAACCATATGGTACGACATCTTAGCATGTTGTATCGATATTTCGTTTCATTGTACTACTTTGACATGTACATATTAACGACGAACTAATGATAAAGTATTACGACTATGGATTTGACAACAGCGTTACCAAATTAGTAATTTATACCAAATTTATCCACTAAAAGACATGTCAAAGACGTAAGATGAAACGAAATATCGCCATAACTTCGATAAGATGACGTATCCTATGAGATAGGCGGTCGCACCGCAAAACACAGAAAGACATGGTCGCACCACTGAAGATTACCCGTTGAGCCGACGTATCTTGCCGGCAGTTTGATACTCTTTTGCATTCCAGTAGGAAATATTTTTCGTAACAGTTACAGCTCACCAATGAGTACGCAGCTTTACTTTCCATACCTTTATAAACTGAATATTATGACACATTAAATAGCGTCGAGATTATTATGTTAGAGACCGTTTAATGTAACTTCCGCATTTACTCGTTGTACGTGGAGTTTAGATTTCCAATAAAAACCTTTTACGACTTGTGACCTCTGCCATCCGACAGAATTTGCACAATTTCATGATGAATTCGATTCCCAGCCGTAGAATATTCGATTCCCAGCCAGCGCTTTTAATATAAATTATTCTTATTCGAACATAGGCAGGTTAGACATGTCAAAATAAGCTTAACCAATAGAGATGCTAAGTATTATTATTCGCAAAACAGGCGCAATATTGTCGTCGAGTTGCGGAGACGCCCGTTGAAAGAAGAAGTATTATTATTTTATTTATTGTTTTTGGAAAATTATGTGGATATGTATTTTGTGTGTTACTTGAAATTCCATTGTTTTTGAGCGTATTTTTATCAGAAAGTTTTTATTCGAAGAATATCCACATGGAAATAACCTGTTTAAGATTCTCAGTCTGACACTAAACGTTGAATATTTTTGAAAGTAATTAATTTCTAGTAAATTTTGTGAAAAAAACGTCATGTTTGAAGCAGTAGTTTTTAATTTGAAGAATTGGTATATCACCAAAATAGTATAATGAGATAATTTAAAAATAAATGTAAAGCCTTCTTAATTAAAAATCCACTTTGTCCCTGGTACTCTGAGGTGGGATTCGAACCTACGAACTTTCGCAATCAGGGATGCTTTAGATTTTTTTATCACTTTTAATTAAGAATATTTTCCAGTATAGCATTGACCAAATAGGTAAAATAAATGTAAAACCTATTTTAATAAATAAATAGACCGATAGAGAGATAGTTGAATAATTTATAATTATTAAAATATTTAAATATCGTAAAACATAAACACTCAAGTGGTTACCTATTCGGCAGCGTAAAAATATTAGGGTTGTCTCCATTCTGTTCAACATCCTGTTTAATCCCACGTATTCTTCCTATCTCCGCAGCGCTTCTTCTGTCTTCGTTCTCCTGACACTCTTTGCAGACTTTTCTTAACTTCCTTCTCCAAACTCTACACAAAACAGATTTTGCCGCTATACTTTGAAACCTGCCGACGATATACTAGACATTCGCACTGGTATTTCGATTTTCAAAAAATATTGAAGGATCATACCTTGCCTCTTCTTAGGGTATATTATTTATATTTAATTTATATTATCTATGTTTGCACAGTTATGTAAGTTTTTCCAGTACTTAAATTTTTCTTTAAAATTTAAATATTTTTCCATAAATTGTCTGAGACGTACATACCTAATGCAGCAGCATTTTATCTTGCCTAATCATAAAACATATTAGCTCAGGCCGTGTTTGCGGATGCTCCGGGCCTAATTACACACGCAACGGGAGACCGTGCTCAAATATTGGAAGAGCATGCCTTTACCCGGATCTACTTAGATAGATTTTCCAAGGAACCGACCTCCATGGTGAACCATTATGAACGTATACGATTCCTAGTAACGTTAGTGCGCATCTCGCATCTCGTAACATTTTAATATAAAAGTTACTATGATATAGGTACTTAAATGCGATAAACCCAGAAAACTGAATTTTCGCCCGCTTGCTTTAACTTTGGCAAACACTATTAATTGTGTTAGATCTGATTTTCTACCTTTTTTCAATTAGTGCATGATGTAAATGCATGTTTTTCAATCTTTTATAATAGGGTTTTTGATATGTAACGTTTTTTGGTAATAAAAGGTACTTAGTTCAGAATTGAAAAAATATATATTTCTATATGAAATAGGTATTTAGAGTTTTACGCTATTATTTTATTTTACCCAAACTAGACCAATAGCTAGATAAAACTTTTCTTTTCGTAAACCGTTTGTCGGAAAGTTAGAAATGACTGGAGGTTAGACACTTTTATTTTGAGGTCTGGTTTATGTTCTTTAACCTGTAACTAGGTTTTTTTCTTTTTTAATTAAAAGTAATAGATTTTTTAATTTTAGTTTTTTTTAACACAATAATGAAAAAATTGACATTATTGGCAACTTTTGTTTTTTTCTGAAAATCGATACATTTTGAGTTATTGCTAACAAAAGACGTTTCAGATGGTTTTTTGCGAAAATCTCAAAAGGTTAAAAATATTGTAAGTTGAAATGTAGAAACTTGAAAGAAAGTAAAAAAAAACATTGATCAAAAAACCACTGACTGGCACGGTCGGAGTTGGTTCTTATTTTCGAAATTTTCATTCGAATAGATAGTGTACTGATGTAGATGAGTAATGAACCCGAGACAATGAATTTTCGGACACCCATCCTGTAACTATCGATTGCGAAAATTGCTTAACAACTATATCGCTGGCCATATAAGTATAGTGAGCTAACTACTGCGCTATCGTTCTCTTCAATTTACATTACAGTATGAAAAGCACATGAAAATACAGCGAAATATTGTTATATTTTTATAATATCTCGCTTTATTTACAATACAAAATGAAAATAGATAATAATACTGGAATGCGCCACCTATGAAATAAATGATAAACTATTGAGAGTTAGCTATTTGTTCAGTTTAAAACTCTCAAATGCTTTACGAGCGCTAGTGTCGCGTAAATAATAGTGCTGCCATACATCATAAAAAAGTAAGTTATTAGTAGAAATAAATAATGTTTAGTAAAAAAAAATAAATGAATGTGACTCTTAATAAATATATTATTTATTATTATTTACATATGGAAACAAGAAAAATTTTTTTTCCTAAGCAACTGTCGCCCATTAATTACATATAATGGTTTAGGAGTAGAGTTCGTAAATGCAGAAAGAATATTACAGAAAAACTAAAAGAAAAAAGGAAATCGTTGGTCGAAAGGCTAATTAATTCAATCTACGTGTTAGATAATAATGAGTTCAAAGAAAATATTCTGTTTCGGGTCTGGAAGTTATGGTATCTTTGTTGTCGCAAATAATCCACAAAACGGAGGCTTTAGCTACTCATCTTTATCAATCAAACAAAATTACTCATATTTATTAAAGTCAAGCAATCAAACAAAAAGGTTCAAGGTTACTTTGAAGTTTAGACTAAGAGATGTCAAATGCAGCCTTTTATAATAATGACTCAACTTTAGTTGCACCAACAAAGACATTAATGTTTGGTTCATTAAAAACTTATTAAAAAAATATCAGATATTTTTGTTAACATAATATAAGTTGCCATTTCTTGATTTATTATTTTGTTATACCTATTTTATCTGGCAGTCACGTCTTTTTGACACGATATTAGTAGAATTTTACTGTCTATATGTCAAAAATACTGACATTTGACACATGGGGGTTCGATTCCTCGATTGGTTTGTCAGTAGGCAATTTGTTTGTGTGTTCGTTGTTATTTTTTTATGAACGTACTTTTGTAAATGGTGAATAGTCGCGGAGTTCCGGCGTTTCAGATTTTTAGTAAATCAAGTTTGAAAGAATGATAAAAAATAATATAGAAAAGTAATTTTAAATATCAAACCACTGATTATGTTATAATATTCGTATTATTTGTTAATAATGGTGAAAGATGAGCGTAAATCTCGGTCATTCTCTGTTTAGTTCATTGTCTTAATCAGGTGTTGTGTGAAATGTGATCTAGTGCATCGTTTTCGAAGATTTTTGAAGCTACAGCAGGTGTGAATGTTTTTTGTTTATTTTAAATGTTTAACCAATGATTCTGAACTCGTTGTGTATAGCAGCTTATTTAGATTTCATGATAATACATAAAAATTATCTCATATAAAGTTTCTTGTATTCTAATAAACACATATTCCTAAAATGCAGTTAAATCTTATTCCCTCTTATTCATGTTCAGTCATTAAAAATTTATATGTTAACTACATTTTTAAGAACCATGAACAGCACTAAGTGTTCCCAAAATTATTTGTACAGGTGGAGACTGGCAACCATGTCTGCAGATGAGTCCAGTGTACGTGTTGCAGTCAGGTGTGTATTTTTTTATTTATCACTATAGAATAAATGATAATTAAGCAGTATAAAAAAATACCCATCTAAGTGAGAGTAATAGCTTGTTTGTTTATATTATAAGTGTATTTGAGGTGGATAATTTCCAAAACCATGCACCTCTTTGTAAATAGTTTACCATTTGGATACAGTATTTTAAAATACTTTTGAACCCACACAGGCTACTTTTGTACCAGTTACTATAGGGTTGTAGATATGTAAAAAAATATATATGAAAACATCATAGTCATTACTTTCATTGAATATGCTTTATCTTGAACTATCAATTTTTGTGGAAAGAGAATTTAAAGTTACTATAAATATACTAAAAAAAAGATACACAAAAGAAGAATTAGACAAATCTAGTTTAAATTATATTTATGGTTCCATTAAACCATCATAAATCCTTATTGCATACTAAATAATTACACTAGTACCATGGTATTACAACAAATATCTACAAAAGTCAATGTAAGGTACAGTTGCCTAATTAAAAAGTCTAGTGCTATTGTATGCTAAAGTAAGTAAATATTCAACAGAAATAGGATTAATTTAACTTTTGTTGTCTTTATTCATTAGACTATTAGAGATATAACCTTGTTGGATTTTCAGTATTCCATCATTAAAAACAGCTTTGATACCTAATACCCTCATTGTTAAATAAAAGGAGTCTCATTAGCTACATAATAAATAATGATAGTGCTTCATAATACTATGACAACCCTTTTATTGTTTATTTGAATTATTCTTCAACAGTCAACTCCATGTTAAAATTTATTATAAATAAATAATGATAATAAAGATTCCTTTCTACTGAAATATAGATACTAAAAATAGTGACTAATAGTTGCATAAAATAATATAATGGGTATGTAAAAAGTGTGAAGGCAGACTTTATGCAAATGGTTGACCCACTATGATTGCGTAGTGCTGTAACACTTCTTGAGTGCTATTTGTGGTAATATTTGTTTACCATTGGTGTTAGTCATCACACCCATTCCGTATTACCATATTTGTTCTTTAATCACTATTCATCTAAGTAAATGTCTCAGTTAGAAAGTCCATTATATAAGTTTAATAAATCTTAAATTAATATTATATAATGTGAATTTTTATTGTGATATAATCTTTATTACTTAGATAGCAACTGCTTTTCAGGTTAAAAAACTTAATGACAGAGCTGAATACAAATAGGTACTATTTGAAATATACCTATATTTTTTTTATAAACACAGGAATTATTGAGTTTATTGGTAAATGATTCTGTATTTAGTTTATAAAAGTATTTTATAACAGATTAAAGGATTGAAATTTCTGTAAATACAGCTTCTGTCTATTGATTAACAAGCAGAAACTCACACAAAATTTTTGATCACCCATCCATTAACCATTCTTTAAAAAGTCTGTTGGCCGCCATAATTGCAGCCCTTTATGTAAAAGAGTGTTGTGCAAGTGACTTCTATATACGCAATAGCTTTCTGCTACGTTACATATCTTAATAGATACCTGGTTTAATAATAAATGGTACCACTAAAATATTACTTCAGTAAACACATGTTAAGCATGCTATAGAGGTACTTTTTTAAAGACTAAGGAAACCGTTGGACTTTTATTCTTAGGCAATGCGGTATTTGAAAAAAATATAAAATTACTGTCGAGATTCGATGACGATTTAAGGAGGTTCGAGTGATGTAAGCAAAGTTATTTTACTTGCTCAACAATTGTCATACACCTACTTGTAAAAAAATTTGTTAATATAATCACTGTTGCATTGAAAATGTATGTGACACCTGACACATATTTATCAATCAAATGAAATTACTGTAGTCTATTGGTGGGTGTTGAAAATAATAATATTCAGTTTACAGTTAAATCCGCCTTGTTATGGATATCCGATCAATCCGATGTAAGTAGTGTTGTAGGTGGAACGAAACGGATATGTTTGACATTACTTTGATGCAACGGATATCCGGCAACTATTCGGTATCCGGCATATTCAGTCTTATAATACAATCCGCCAAATACTGGATAGCAAATAAACATCCTACCACATGCCTACTAAATAAATTTTATTATGACTTATAATGAAATGATTTAAATCACTTAACAAATACAATTATATATGCATTAATCAGAACATTTTGTAATCTTTGCATTACGTGGTTTTAAAAGATTGTCTGAACAACCAACACCATCACAACTCGGTGTTCTTCAAAAATTCTTAGAAGATGCTGTTTCATTTAAATATATCAAGAAATATATAGCATATTTATCAATTTAATCCCAAAAAAACATTTTACACATTAAGCCGTTGGTCCGGGCTGAATTTGCAGTCGTTAATGGGTAGGGTTCCAATCCGCATTGGACCAGCGTGGAAGGCGCATCCTCCTTAACCATCCATAATGAATACCTAAGCCCCTGCAGTGAGGGCGTATAAGGGCTGATGATGATGATGATGCTATGGTCTGATTTATAGTATTGGGATGAGATGATAAAATTAATTAAACAAATGCTAACTTGGCATATTTCGTTTGTGAATCGCCTACGCAAGCTTCTATACGATACGCCAAAAGGCAATGTCCAGATATCCGTACGCCGAATATCCGGCCATCCAGTTAAAACCGTTTATCCGGTATCCAATAAATTAGCTAATAGTTTCATCTCTAGTTGTAACACAATTTATATTGACTGGCTGTGAATTAAAACTATTTGTAAGCTGCTTGGCCATTGAGGTTTTTCATATTATGAAAAATAAAATTTCAAGAAGTCAATACAAAAAAACAACTAATACTATCAAATTGATTCTTAAAGAAACAAAAAGGAAACAACATACCATTACAAGATTTTATAAGTTTAAACGTTATATAAAATTACGAAATATAAGTTGCATTTACCTACCACTTGATATAACGAAAAGTTATTTATCACAAACCATTTTTATGAATGATCTTGAGACTATTTATATATGCTTAATGCAAAATTTATTAAATATAATGAGAGCAATTTTATTAAAAAAAAAAAGTAATGAAACCGACTTCAAAATTTAAAAAAATGAACAATAATACTTATCTCAAAAGCGACTTATTCAAGAAAATGCTATTAAAATCTGGCGGAGGTTTTCTGTAGGTTATTAATTAATTTATAGGCGATCGGTTTACCCTGTAAAATGTTTTAAGGTAACATACATCTCGCATACTTATGCAAATTTAAGACTAGTATGGTTTTCTCATAGATGCCATTGCCAGATGTAGACCAAATTGAAATGGGACCACACGGCAAGCACTAGCTTTCAAATAAAAAAGAATCATCAAAATCATTCCACCCAGTAAAAAATTATGAGATTACACACTGAAAAAAAATACAGTCGAATTGAGAACCTCCTCCTTATTTCGAAGTCGATTAAAAAATACATTTTGGCTTCTCATTGGGCTCAATACGCCATCGCCATTTCCACTTATATCGAGAGAGAGAGAGAGAGAGAAGAGTTGCTAGATTCCGTTTCGTTTTCTCATCAAAATCATGTAAACTGCATAGTTTCTGTTTAGTAATACCTAATTGGCAATTTATTATGTAGGTGACAAAAGCAACTATTCCCTAAAGAATTTTCATTCGTGTTATTGTATTCATAACAACAATACACATATCATATCAAGTATAGCCCTAAACGTGTGCGAAACAATGTTTTAAGATTATTTACATTAAGACGAAAATGTCTTAAGCCTTTTTTATGCTAACGCAAAATAAATGCAAGTTATGCTTTAAATTAGAGCTCTCCAATCACCGACCTGCCCATTAAGCCTTAAATCAGGGCTCTCCGGCCCAGCACCCGTCAAGAAAAGGACAGGCTTAAAACCCGTTCAGAGTACCCTCCGAGGGATCCGGTATCCGGCCCGGCACCCGGGATCCGGCAAATAGCCCACCGGGTCCACCAAGACCTGCCCCGAGAGACGAGGCAAACGCGTGGTTTGCCTACGTGCCTAGGATGATGTAGGATCCTGCTATATAATATATAAGTAAATAACTGAGCAAACTTTTGCAATAAACTAGCGTCTCGTTCATGCTTCGCACTGTGATAAACCTTTGTTAAGCCTAGTTTCCCGCCCAACCGATATAAGCCCCGCCGATGCAAATAATGAAATAAGCGGGGATCGACAAACTTATAAAATGGCAGTCTATTTCTTATCAATACGCAATAGGAAATGAGGCAAGAATAATTTAAGACCCGTGACAGTTTTCACAATTCTAGCTCTCTCGGGTAATCTAGAAACCTTTTCTTCAGTATGGCAGATAAGGATGACGAAATTATTACTTGTACACATCACCTAAATTGTCGTCTATACTTAGAGGGAGATTTGATTGTTTAGGCTCCAAAACTACGGGACCAATTTTAAAAAATATTTCACTTACAGGGAGCTACGTAATACGCGGATGACAGGCTATAATTTACGCGGGTCACGGGAAAACAGATAGTAACAGATACATTTGATTTTGAGAAGTAGGTATCACTATATTTACAACACTATAATGACACATTCTACTCTTAGGGCGTATGGCCGAATGTCATTGTCTTTTTTTTTTCAATAAGTTTGTTGTTTCCATAGGTAATTTAAAATAATATTAGTTAGTTAGTCTCACTGTGGACCTTGTCGGGCACAACAATATTAGAAAGAAAGGAGGAGCACTTGTTTTTAATATTGTAAATTGTAATTTATAAATAAATAAATAATATATATTTTCAATTTCGCTAATTGCCTCCTATGTAGTACAAATCTGTGGCAAATCGAGATCTGAGTCTTGGTCGTTTGCATTGCTGCAACATACTTATTTTCTGTCACACGAATTTCATTCTTCATTTGTTTTGTTAAGTTTTCTTTTTGTAACTATTGCAATTGCCGCATGTTAATGCTAATAAACTTCAATCTGAAAATCGTCAGGAAACCATAATGATTTCCTCTTTTTCGTATTTTTTAAGTCATTAATAG